AAAATGAACTGTACTTTAAAAGTGTAGTCTACTTTGTAAATTTATTAAAATACCCTTAATAAAACTATTTCTTATACTATTTTATTAAGGGTATTTTAATAAATTTATAGGAGAGACTATACTATTGATATATAATCCATACCATTGTTTTCAAAATTGAACCAAAGGTCAAACCATTTTGACCTTCGGTTCATGGTTTTGATAGTTGAATCGGTTTGACCAGTTAAAAATCGAGTTGATTGAATTTTGAAAATATATGTTAAATACAATATAATACAACATATTTCCAAAAGTTAGAAGGAGCCCTTACTTGTTTCATATAGAACTTGAGTTCGAGTACCAAGTGTGTCAACTTTATTTATTTATGTATTCTATTATAATAAATAAATCTCAAAGCACCGCAGCTCAATAAATTAGGTTCAGATCAAGTAGCAAAAGTTGTTCCAATTATGTAAGAGGTGAAGTGTTCGAATCCCAAAGAAGCAATTTCACGGTTTTCCTTTAGTCTTTTTAACATTCTTTAAAATGCAGTCTTTGTAACCCATGTCACAAAGGATACCATAGTTCTGGTGGCGAAGGAGTTGTCAAAAGCTGAGGAGGCCTTGTGTTCGAAACCCACCAGCAGCAATAAACCTCCCAAAATTTGTCCCCAATAGTTTGCTTGGCTGGTTTGATGGTTCACCGGTTCTTATCAGTTTAGGAAGGTTAAATGATTTTAAATGGTTTAATTGCTTAAAAGGTTTTAAATATCAACTCGACTCGTTTTTACTACCGAGTATCGATTCAACCGATTTATTTGGTCCGATTTTCAAAACAATGATCCAGATTATATTACATGAATCCCTATACATTTATTTATTTTTGGTATATAGGAAGCCATCATTGGAGCTTAAGCTTTAAAGTGGGTTTTAAACTCTCTTACCATTAGCTATTTATTTGAGATTTTATAAGTATTTCTAAGAAATTTATTAAAAATCTTAAAAAGATTTATTGAAAATTTTAAAAGATTTATCAGATATTTATTCAAGATTTATTGATGATTTTAACCATTGTTATAATATAATAACATAAGATATAAATATTTAGATAGATTCTCACCAAAACAATTTAAGAATACAACATACCATACGCTACCCTGCAATATTTATTTAGTCCTTTCACATGCATGACAATTGAATATATATTGCCATTTACCCATAAAGAAAAAATAATGTCCCATAACCCACAATCTGTATCTAAAAAGGCGTCCTGCAACTATTACCAAACAGGAATATATATATAGGTAACATTAGTCATTTATACATGAAACCCATGTGCACTTTGAATAAGACTTTTTTACTTTTAGAAGTTGAACTATATTTATAACAGCACGAGAGTAACAAAGAATAATGAGGTAAAAGTGGTTATGCGACTCACATAATGAAATGTAATCGAATACTGTATTTTAGTCTAATTATAACAATAATATAAAGTATGTTGAGGAGCTTTAGGGTTTCAAAAACAATCAATTGAAGGGCTTCCAGGGGGGTTATGCGCAAAGAAAGCTCCTTTACCTATACTCCATAAGCATTTTACCCCCCTTTTTGGAGTATAACTGTCATCCAAAGTATGTATAAACCATCTCATGCTTTGATAGGCTTTGTCCCTTTTAACCTCTACTGAAATTTCCTTCCCATAAAGTTTTCCCAATCCACGACCATAAATAGATGGATAGTCGTAGAACATTCTACCACGCTTAGATAAATTAAGCTTCTCAAGATTCTTGCACTTCTGCAAGATTATGCAAACACCCCTCCTGAATATGGGCATCTTGTCCATGCTCAACATCCTAAGCTGCGGAACACACCTTGATAAAGATAAAGAGTTGATCTCGTC